GCGGGACGCCTTCGCAAGCTGCTGCGGAGGGTTTTGCGGTTCAAAGGCCTTCGAAAGCTGCTGCTGGGCTTTTGAAGCTTTTAAGGGGTGCCCAAAACGTGCCACGTAGCAGTTTCGAAGGCCAATAGAGACAGCTTGTGGGGCCTCGGGAGGTGTACTATGGCAAAGCAGGCGGGGCGCCTTCGCAAGCTGCTGTGAGGGTTTTGTGGTTCAAAGGCCTTCGAAAGCTGCTGGGGCTTTTGAGGCTTTTAAGGGGTGCCCAAAACGTGCCACGTAGCAGTTTCGAAGCCAATAGACAGCTTGTGGGGCCTCGGGAGAGGTACCATGGCAAAGCAGGCGGGAACCTTCGCAAGCTGCTGTGAGGGTTTTGGCCTTCGAAAGCTGCTGGGGCTTTTGAGGCTTTTAAGGGGTGCCCAAAACGTGCCACGTAGCAGTTTCGAAGCCCAATAGAACAGCTTGTGGGGCAGGTACCATGGCAAAGCAGGCGGGACCTTCGCAAGCTGCTGCGGAGGGTTTTGCGGTTCAAAGGCCTTCGAAAGCTGCTGCGGGGCTTTTGAGGCTTTTAGGGGGTGCCCAAAACGTGCCACGTAGCGAAGCCTAATAGAAACAGCTTGTGGGGCTTAGGGAGGTACCATGACAAAGCAAGCGGGACGCCTTCGCAAGCTGCTGCGGAGGGTTTTGCGGTTCGAAGGCCGGGCTTTTGAGGCTTTTAAGGGGTGCCCAGAACGTGCCACGTAGCAGTTTCGAAGCCCAATAGAAACAGCTTGTGTGGCACCATGGCAAAGCAGGCGGGACGCCTTCGCAAGCTGCTGCGGAGGGTTTTGCGGTTCAAAGGCCTTCGAAAGCTGCTCCGGGGCTTTTGAGGAGGCTTTTAAGGGCCATGCCGCACACCTACGGTGATCCCGGGCGCCGCCCCGCCTAGGCCAAGGCTAGGCAGGGGTCGGCGGATTTTTTGAGAAGACTTGCTTTTATCGTCATTTGTTCCAGTTCCGTGGCCAACGGTTGGAACAAGCCCTTGTCGACATTGTTCTTTCTCCACACATACTGATATGCTTGGCTGAACAACTGTGGGTTGGGCAGGCCAGCGATGCGTGTCTTCACACGGCTACAAATGAAGCCTTTGCACCATGCCCACAGCTTATCAATTTGCTGCATTCCAGCAACTCTACTCTGTCCTCGCATCTTCTTTCCTCGCATTTTGCGAGTGAATTCAGAGCGACAGTGTTTGCAACTCATGAGGAAACATATCGACTTATGTACCACAAAAAGTGCACAGCGTATCAACACGTATGTGTACATTAACCATAAGCAACATGTCAACTCATGTACCGCGAAAAGTGCACATTTATATCACAACACGTATGTCACTGCATGTACATGAACCAGAAGGAAACATATCAACTCATGTACCACGAAAAATGCACAGCGTATCAACACGTATGTCACTTCATGTACATGAACCAGAAGGAAACATATCAACTCATGTACCACGAAAAGTGCACAGCGTATCAACACGTATGTCACTTCATGGACCATAAGCAAACACATCAACTCATGTACCTCGAAAAGTGCACATCTATATCAACACGTATGTCACTTCATGTACATGAACCAGCAGGAAACATATCAACTCATGCACCACGAAAAGCGCACAGCGTATCAACACGTATGTCACTTCATGTACATGAATCATAAGTAAACATATCAACTCATGGGCATGAACCATACACAGCGTAGCAACACTAATGTCACTTCATGTGCATGAACCATAAGGAGACATATCAATTCATGTACTTCGAAAAGTGCACAGCCTATCAACACGAATGTCACTTCAATGAAGATGAACCATCAAGAGCGTACTATCAAGAACGTTATCACACCGCCCCACCACTGTTTTTGTTTGGGCTTGGATTCTATGTGGATATAGCATGAGTATTGAGCACATGTACATACGCTTTCAAGGCTCGAGAGAGGGATATAGACTAATCCTGTAGACACCGCACCGGCTGGCTATTGGCCGAGTACAAAAGGTGTGAAGCTGTCTTGGGAAGACGCTCTAGCTGATCTAATCTAGACGCTAGTGCCCCTCTTCAACCACCCCCCCGAACCCCCCCCAACCAACACCCAGCGTATCAACACCTATGTCACTTCAATGAAGATGAACCATAGAGGACCTGGTCGAACATTTCCATGTCACAAGAACCACATGAACCACAGCTTCATGCAACACAACATGATTGTAGTAGATGCATGTACAAAGTAGAAAAAAACACGTGCAAAATAATCAGGGGCCCCGAGTCCCCATGTAACCAAAAACATAGTCACAGTGAATCGCGACTTTTCTACCTTTTCGCACACCTGCATCTTCTTTCTGCTGACTCTTTCTCTTCTCTGATCTTTTCTCTTCTTCTCTTCTCTGCTCTGACTCTTCCAACCTCTGCTTTTCCATCTGCCCATATTGTCGGCAGCTTGACTTCCAAACTTCCTTCGACTATATGATATTACATTGTATTGTATTCTTGTACATGTTTTTTTACAATATATAGTTTTATTTTAATTTTATTTACTATGTTTTATATTTATATATTTGTTGGTTTGATATATTAGTGTTTTTTATGGTATATGATTTATATGTTTTACTTTGTTAATATTGCTTATTGCATATTGTATTTTCAATAAGTTGTAATATAAAAGTTGTATTTATCGTATTTATGATCTAGCATTTTTAATCCTATATATTGTATTAAAATGTTATGTAGTATATTTGTTTATAGCATATACTTTGTTAATTATCCGTTTTATATTTTAGATTATTTTTATCATGTATTTTTCATTTTTTAAATGATATATCAGATATTATTCATGCTACTTTTATGGTTTAGATGTTTTTTAGTTTATATTCATTATATTTTTTAATATAAAATATATGTAATAAACAAAATAATGTAAAAAAATAATGTAAAACATAGTTTTATAATAATATATGTATATACTTGCTTTTAATATCTTTTAATATCTTTTAATTAGTATTTAATAAATTATAGTTTTTTATTTTGTAAGATATTACATATCATATATCATATTTTATATTATATATATATTGCTTTCTTATATTTAATTTAATATATTTAATATTGACTGTATTTTATTTAATTTTATATATATATATTTATTTAAGGTTTTTTCAATTTTTCATTTTAATTTTTTAATATTTCACATGCAATTTTACAATATATATTTTTTGCTATATAATATATACGTCCTACTTTCTAAATATATATCATATATATATATATATGTATATTCTTTCATTTTTAATAAATTATATTTAATATATTATATTTAATATATTATATTTAATATATTATATTTAATATATTATATTTAATATGTTTTATTTAATAAATAAAAGGGATATGTTTTTTAATATACCATGTTTATTTTTTTACAATAGAACATTTATAATTTATAATCTATAATATATGAAATATAGTATTTAATATGTAATGTATAATACATAACATATTATATATAAGAGTTAATATATTATATTTGGTATATAACATTTAATTTTCCTTTTTTCTAAGTAATGTTTGAGTATATTTTTTAATATCATGTTTAATAAACATTTTTTGAAATATATATATATATGCCATATATATTGTAGTATATCTTAAATATTTTGTAGTATATGTTTTGCCCATACAATATATTAATGCATTTTATTTTATATTCTATGTACTACATTTCGTATATTGTTTTTATCGTATTAGTTTGTATTTTTGTCTGTTAAATCATATTATATCGTTTTACATCGTATCACATTTTGTTATATTATGTTACATACTGTTCTATTCGTATCATTGTTTGTACTATGATAAAATATTTGTGTATATGTATGTGTTCATGGCTGTTCATGTTTGTTCGCCGTGGGATCAGATTCATGGCCTGCATGACCATCGCAACCATCGCATGCAACCTAGCAGGAGCTGCCTGAAGAGATTCTGGGTGAGAGAATGGAACCTGTGGAGCTTGCGGAGCCTGCGGAGCCTGTGGAGCCTGTGGAGCCGGTGGAGACAGATGTGTCTGAAAAACTTGAGGAGGTCAGGCGTTTTTTTCCGGAGAATGATGAGAATGTCAGATGCCACCAGCAGATGCAGTCAGCCTCAGAATGCCCTGATTTTTTGTCATTTTTGATCTTCAGCCAACACTAAGGCTTTGAAACCCGGTAGAACAATTACAGGGAACAGACAATGTCGTGCCCACGGGCTGCAGAATGCCAGAATTAGCTGCGGAGAAGTTAACGTAAGAAGTCGTGCCTACCCCCTAAACACAAGCGACCTCTGGCGTTTTTGGCGCACTTTTCTTGAGTTTTGTTGCGGTGCCTATGTGTTTCGCTATCAACGCCTACTTAGGGGATTCGCATTGTTGTTGTTTGGATCCAGCGGTGCCATTGGGAACTCCTGTCGTGTCGAGCTGGTTGGGTGCTTGCCTTTTCCTTCGCCCATGGGTTTATCTTCCGGCTGGAAAGCTCTGCGGGTGCAGCAGGGATAGGTGCAGCCCATTCTGGGCCGGGAGTGGCTAGGGTCTGGTTCCAACGTCGTTTCATACGTCGTTTGTACGTCGTTTTGACGTCGTTTCTTCTCCTACTACTGCCAGGAACCTGATTGCCTCTGGTGCCTGCCTGCTGTTTGCCTGCTGCTGCCTCCTGCTGCTGTGCTGCTGCCTGGTTGGAATGAAGGATGTTACTCCTTATGACAAGGGAACATGTGAGATTTTTCTTAGCGAATGTGGAATTCCATTGTTAAACAACTCAAACGAAACCATTGGCCACAAGAACAGTTTGAAACCACATCAATTAAATGAGTGCCGGAATGATTGCGGTGACAAGCAGGAAAGCCTTTTAGGCATGACTTCGGCGTGACTTTCTCTTTTGCCTGTAAGACTCTATATATGAGATTACATGTCCCGCAGACAACGTCCTATTCCCGGCCTCGTTTGGGCACTCTCAAGTTCAAAAATTTCAATAAGTTTCAATCAGTGTGAGCTATGCGTGCATATGTGTACTTCATGTGTGGCAATGTGTGGCACATTTCCTCAAGTGTCCCGTCGGATCCTGTTGATCTCGTCAGATTTTGTTGTAGGTGGCCCTTGCGCTAAACGAGACTGAAGAGCTGGTGCGTCAGCTAGAGGCGCCGCAAGAGTACTCGCCGTAAGGAACTAATAAAAACAGTAACATACTCTACATGTACAGCATATGACCAGCATATGACCAGTATATGACCAGTATGGACAGCTCATTTTGAATCCATTGATAAATTTGAGAACCACATCCGCAATGACCCCTATTCCGGACAATCAGATCAATGAAACTTAATGGCTGCTGGGCTAAAGGATATGCAGAAGAATCACATAGAATATCAATTACCATCAATTCACAGAGACTTGAGGTTGACAGTTCATTGACATTTTCTTACTAACGGCTCTAGCAATTGATTTGCCTTTGACATCAACGTCTTCTGAATTTGGGGTTTCTTTGCTAAGGCAGATCAAAGCCGCTGGTCTGAAGGAGAGCCTCTCCCTGCTCAGGTGGTGGCCGTTCATCAGTGCCGTTCGCTGACAATGAACATATGTTTGTTTGTCAATGGTATCATCAGTTTATCCTCATTCATAGCAATGTTGACATTCATGTAGAAGAATCAGACAAGACAGATAGTAAAAAATATGAGTAGTAATGTTGGTGTTAGTTGGTCTTTCTTGGCGCTGGAAGAAATTGTAAGCGAGCACTTGAAGTACATTGAATTATAATACTCTGGATCCACTGTGGATGAACGAAGGGAGAATTGTTGGGTCAGGAGATTGGGGTTATAACGGTTATAAGGTTTGAAAATTGCATTTGGATTTTGACCCACACCCGCGCGATTCCCTGATACATGCCAACCTATGCAAACCGGTCACCATGTTCAATCAATTTATACTGTTTGACATGGGGGTCTGCGATGTTTGGGCAACAGATTCCCGGGACTTTACAACGGATTCCCAATGAACAACTGAGTGGTTTCAACTTTGGCTATGGGCCGTATAAATCGGTGATAATCTGTATGCACCAGAACTCCAAGACATTTTAAAGTTTTTGAGTTTTGGCCGCTAAATTGCTCTGTACTGTTTCTGCGAACATGTCTCTGACCACATTGCCCACTTCAATAGCTGGCGCGCATGCTTCGTAAGTTTCGTTCTGATGGCGGTCGCATGGCCACTGGCTACAGCACCTCCGTGCATGGGGATTTATGCGAATGATACTTCTTACATCTTCCCAGTCTCCTTTCCTGCTGTCCTTTCCTGGCCTCCTTTGTATTTATTGCAGTTTTTTGTTCATAACCAATTCGTTTGGCTTTGTCAATGTGTGCTGCTAAAAGAAGCAGAAAGACTGTCTTAGCTGTAGCTCAGTCTTGTGGGCTTCTGTTGCAAGTCACCTGATACCTGGTAGTGTTTGCGAACATGCTTCTGAGACACTTCAAAACGACGCTTTGCATGGCCAGTGAAGCAAATGGATCTACTGCAGTAATTTGGCGCTCAGCTTTTTTTTTGGTAAATACTTCGAGATGCTTGCGTGCCCAGGTGTTCCTGAGTGCAGAGTGCAAAATGCCCCTCTGTGTTTACAGATATAAGTTATTATAAGTTTATACTATATAATATAAGATATCGTACTCTACAGATCTCTACAGATTTTGTTTGCAAGGTACACGAGTGGTACAAGAGTGCCATGCAAAAGTACTTGACTATGCAGCAGTTACAAGGGTGCTTTACAAGATGTTCCACCAGGCCTGTTGTACAAATGTAGTTTTTCTGAAGTGGTCAGCAAAAGCTTTCTGGATTCCGCAAAATGTGCACAGTGCAGGATTGCCACATTGAAAAGTTGACGCTTTCGTACGCGACTGTTCTGCAAGCGTGTCCCGCACGAGCATTTTACAAGATGTTGTCAAGGGCGTTCTGAAAGAGGTGTCTTCCACAAAATTGTCTGTACAGCATTGCTTTACGGTATATTTGTTCAGCTTTCTGATAGCAATTCGTGTTTGCCGTCTACAACGGTTTCCTTCAAATTAGCTCGATTACTCGCAGAAGTATTCTGCAGGAACATGCTATACAAAATGAAATGTGCAAGGGCAATGACCAAGATTGGTGTGAACAAGTCTTGTGCAAGACTAAGCAAAACTTTTTCACGTTTGTGCTCGCCAACAGCATTTTGCAGACGTTTTTGACGAACCCTTTTGTCCTAAGGCTGGGCAGCCCAATGTTCACAGAAAATATGTGAAAATATGGCCAACATCTCCGCCTAGTGTATTTGGTTCTCTTGTTTTGGCTGTGTATTTGTGGCTGCCAGAAGCTAGAAATCCATTTGGAAGTATGCTGTTGCATAGGTCCTTTGTCCACATCCCAATACCGGGCGACCTGACATGACCTAACTAGAGATGGTCGAAACATGTTAAAACATCCCGGAGACTTGGAGATATCAGAGAGCAGAGATATCCCATACTGCCCATACTAAGATAATCTAAGATATAGTATGATATAGTATGAGTGCCTCCATTTCCAACCCTTCGCCCTCAGCAGGTTGAATTGGAGCAGCAGGAGGTCAGGGCCTGGACTGGGACAGGAATTTGTTGCCGACCTGTTGCCACGTGTTGCATGCGCAGCACCTGGAAGTTTAATTTTCGGCAGCATGTAATTTGTTGTCAGGCACGCCCCAGTAATAGTTTCAGTTTGAATCAGAACCGCCTGCTATGTGGCCGCCCAATGTTGCCCTGACCTTGAGAGTCCCACCTTCAAGCACGCCCAGTCACAAATCCTTCTGGATTGTCGCCCCGAAGATCCTCCACATCATTCCGAGTCTCCCAAAAGCCAAAGCAGAAGCCCAAAACATAAGCCAAACATAAGCCAAGCCTCTGTGAAGCTTTCCCACTCGCGGCACCTTGCCACACCAAATCTGAAGTGTGCATACCTCCTTTGCAGAGCCCCTGTCCAGAGCCGCGTCCAGAGATTTCAAACGCACCAGCTGCTGCTGGACTTGCTACATCTTGCTACAGCCAGCCACCTTCCCTGGATTTTTCGTAGCTACCCATGCTACCCTGTCCAGACTGTGACTCTGCACCACAGTTGCCCTATTGTCCTACACGCGCAAGTGAGCCTTCAACGGTTTGACCCAAATACCTTTGCAAGTAGCCCAGTTATGATATGCCGCAAGATATGGCAACCCTGACTTTTGCAAGACCCGTTGGATGTGGCTTGGAGCAACCTGCAGAATTGAAGGGCTTTATGGCTTTATTATATTTGAATTATTTTAAATTTATTATCATCAATGTTTGTTTGATGCGTCTTTACTATTATGCTTTGCTGATGTCGATGTTGTGAGGCGTTGCTCTCAGACGCTTTGCTTCAGTGCCTCACTATGGAGCTAGAGGACTGTGCAGTCAAGTGACGTGCCGCGGTTCATGCCGTTGTGAAACCCACCCGTCAATAACTCAGTACTCAGTATTACTCAGATCTACTCACTCACATTTTATGTCCCTAGTGTATTCTGGAGCAATCACGTCGAAGGCATCTTGGCTACGGCTAAGGACTGAGAATTATTCAGATGTGTGATCGATACCACGACAGCAATTCATTGCCAACGATTGGTTGCGGGACAACAAGGAGGGCTATTGATGTTGTGTTTTTTCCCCAGTTGTTGGAACTTTTTGGGGGTTCCTGGTTCTCTGCTTTCATTGCTTCTTTGCTTTCCCTGCTTCTCTGCTTTCCCTGCTTCTCTGCTTTTGTGCTTCTGTGCCTTTCTAGGCCTTTCTACTTCTGCTATTCTACTTTTTCTTTTTTCAGTCATGTGTTTTTGCTGCTCTACTTCCTGCTCCTCTGCTTCTCGCTGCTTCTTGTCTTTACTGTCTCTGTGTGTGTGTGTGTCATTTTCTTTTGCTTTATTCTCTCCTGTTGTATCCTAAATGAAAACCCTAGAGAGACCCTATGCCCTTTGTGAAACCCAGAGAAATCCTGATAAGAAATCCTGATAAGAAACCCCGAATGAAAACCCTAAAGAAACCATAAACTAACTCCAAAGAAACCATAAATGAGACGCGAAAGAAACTTTGAATGAAACCCTAAAAGACATCCTAAAGAAACCCTAAACGACACTCCTTAAAAATAAAAAATAAACGAAACCCTAACTGAAACCCTAAAGAAACCTCAAATCAAACCCTAAATGAAACCCTAAGTGAAACCCTAAATTGAAACCCTAAATTGAAACCCTAAATGAAACCCTAAAGGAACCCTGAATGAAACCCTAAAGAGACCCTAAATGACAACCTAAAGAAGCCCTAAAGAAACCCAATTGAGCGGTTTGAAATCGTGGAAAGAAATCCTGATAAGAAACCCTTGCATGAAACCCTAAATGAAACTCTAAAGAACCCTAAATGAAGCCCGCAATGAATTCTAAATGAAACCCTAAAGAAACCCTAACTGAAAGCCTAAAGAAACTCTCAAGAAAGCCACATGCACGTTTGAAGTACCAAACTTACCAAACTGAAGCAAATACCATGCAAATGAGAGGTTGAAGTGCCAAGATATGGCAAATGCCATGCAAAATGGAAGGCGAACATGGCCAAATGTAGCAAATACCATGCAAAATGCAAAGTGACCAAAGTGAACTACATAATGACATTGTAATACATTCTACTCGTACGGGTCTACATGTATACAGTATGTATATATATAGTATACATATGTATCTAACTACATGACATGGCCCAGGACCAATTCATGGCTGTGTCGTCCTGTGAGTCTCAACGAGAAATGACAATAACAGACATCGCCCGTACAGCGAAACTATAAGTACTTTGTAGATCTTTGTAGATTCACATGTCTGCGAGCAAAAACCCCAGGTCAATCTCGGAGGCACGCCAAGAGGAGAAACATACCGACATAACCGACATACCAAAAAAAACATTGACAACACAACTTGAGCTTCTAACATCACGACTGATTGAATAATTAGAATAGATCCCTATATTTTGCTTTACTGCTATGTTGTGAATATTTTTTTGTTCCAAGAATGTGCAACCCAAAGCTTTCCGGCTATTGCTTGGCTACAAAGCGCAAACATTGCACTTGTTCTCGATGCTTTCCCTTGGTCCTGCCCCTTTTTGATCCCTGCTGAGCCTCACGTTGCCCGCAAACAACCTCTGGGAATCAAAGGAATTGATGTGCGTAGTCCATGTCTCACTCTTGTTTGCACCCATTGACATTGGTGTTTCAGCGCAAAAATAGCTTAAGGTGTGTATTCAAGATCAAGCATGCATGTGGTACTCATGGTTTCTGCTGACAGATTACACATGTATAATGTATCTTACATTTAACTCATCTTGTTCACATATTCTATCCAGCTGTAGTCACTCCAGCCGGTCTTCAAGCACAGGGCCTTGCCCAAACACATTCCAATCTGTTTGAAACATCAAACGTACAATTTAATGCTACTTTAGTCTATAATCCCCCTCCAGTGATGCAGATTATTTTCTTGGGAGTTCACTTCCAAAATTAATAATTTTGAAACCACCGATTTGCACATACTACATCCATGCGTCGTTCGAACCCAGGGAAATATTTTTTGTTCAAAATATTTCAAAATTATTTTCCTGTGGTATAATACAAAGGTCCGGCAACAGGAAAATCATTTTCATGGGGGGGGAGTTGACTAGAACATATATGTACGTCAAACCCTAGGAAAAAGATGTCGGTATGGTTCTTTACATGACTTTAAAAGGTTGGGAACCAGGATTTAAATCTTTGGAAATGGAGATACAATGATTATAATGCTGAATTTGCATAGGTTAGACATCAGGAACATATTCAACAAAATTGTGTCAACGCGCACCCAAATTGCAAAACACGTTTTTTTTTACTGAAGATACATTTGTCCTTGCAAAAGGGCACGAATAGATATATTCATTTTCACAAACATTGAAACAGTGACTTGAAGAGGTCGAGGCGCAGGTGTCAAAAATACAATCCAAGGGACTGGACCTTTTTTTGGCCGAATACCTGCGGATGATCTTCAAAGGCTGGCCCCACAGGAAAAAAGTCGCATCACCAGGTCAACCATCCATAGGTAGGACATGATGGGACAAATTCAAGAATTTTGTGTCAACGCGCGCCCAAATTGCAAAGCAGTTTTTTTCTGAAGATACATTTGTCCATGCAAAAGGGTGCAAACACATATGTTCAGCTTCGCCAACACAAAAAACGAGCTGGAAACGTTTGGATCCGCGGTTTAATATGTTCCAGGCACAGGTTATTTGCTAAAGTTGTGATCCTTGCAACCCAGAAAATGGTTAACACATGATTTAATTTGGGTTTTTTGTGAAATTGCGGTAAGCCCCAAAGCATCTAATTCTTAATTTTAAATCCTCTTAAGTAATTGGGAATGAGGTGATTCACACAATAAACGATTGAGTTTTGGGTTCGTCTTCAAATAGCCCCCACTCGAATCTGTCATGGGCTCGAAACATTCATAATTATGTAAACCTTGGGTCCCAGGAAATTAGTCTATTAACAGCATATGTTGAGGGGTGGTTTGTTGAGCATTGTATGAGGGTTGGCACCCAGGAATTAAACTAATAACAGAGGGGAAGAAATGCCTTTCTGGAAACCTTAGGCATCAGGAAATTAGTGCTTGCAAGCTTAATTCGTCTGAGAATGTAAATTCCGGCAAGAAAGGTCGGGCACCAGGATTTTAATCTCAAAAAGGTCAGGACCCAAAAAATAACCCAGTTATTTTCCTAGGACAGGACTCTCCGGGGTGCACCAGATGGGGACATCTCTATATTTTATGATATTTTACGTTCACTGATTCCTCGGTTGCATTTGAAAGGCCATGCGGCCATGATTAAAGGTGACAAAGCACCATACAAGGTTGACGGGTCACTCCGATGTAGCATTGGGTTGCTTTAGAATTATGGCCATTGTCGCTTCTATTTCCATGTGCAGAGATCGCATCATCAAGACCCATCAACACTACTGAGAGTCACTACTGGTAACATTCAGTAGGGGCCTTCTTGCTTAATTCAACCTACCGTGCTTCGGTTTGGTTTGCCTGTCCGCCTAGTGGACAAAGCAGCCCCAGCAAGTCAAATCTGGGAATTTGAAACCAGCCTTTACAGCCCCTAACATCCCTTTTAACATCCTTTAACTTTAAGTTATAGTGAGTGCAATTTTGATGATTCTGCATCTCTTGGCCAAGCTTGCTGAATCTTGCGTCAATGTCCCTATCCTTGCGGCTCTGAATAGAGGACCACACAGACAGCCCCAGCTGCATGCAGAGCGCTTCAGACGACCAAAAGCCCCCAGGAGGACTGCAAAGATCTGCAAAGATCTGCAAAGATCTGCAAAGCCGGAATGCTTCACGAATGCTCTTCGTGATCAATTAATTAACTACCACAAAAAGAGTTTGTTGTCCGAGCAGATTGCTTTCTAGTCCATGGTTTTAAGATTGCTCAAGCAGTTTTGCTTCTAGACTTTTAGCCAGTTTTTGAAAGGTTTGTCAGACACGTGTTTGACATCTTTGTCATGTGTCTTACCAGAATAAAGACCAAAGGCCATGTGAAGAACTTAATTTGGCTTTCCTGAGACTGGTTAGTAATCCGTAGACTAGTTGACTTGTCAACTTTGATGGCAGCTGCTGAGAGAAAATAGACCGTTGGATATCACTTCTGACAAGGGGCGCCCGCGTCTCAATTGATCGGTCCACTTCAATGATTTCTACATGCTTGACAATTTGAAGCGACAGTGTCGGTGACACGGATGTTGGATGTTGGATAGGTTCAGCAGGGTTTCTGCCAGATGTGCCTCGTAGGAGATTTGCCCGGAAGTGAGCCTGAGACCAAGGACGACTTCTGCACTGGAGGAATGGATTCCCACAAAGCTCACGTAGACTACGTCACGTAGACTGTGTCACCTAGACGACTTAGGCATCACTTCAATTCTTGTAGTATTTTGTATTGAGATTCGTGGCCACTCAGCAAGACTTGTGCCTTCCTGGCAGCCTAGCATTTAGAAAAATTGCTCGCTTTGTGGTTTCATTCATGTTTTTCGGCATTTTATTGGAAAGGACATTGAGAGTCTTGGTGAGATTTGGTGAGAGTTTGTTTGATGAGATTGCAGTGACTGCTTTGAAAGTCTCTCTCAAGACCCATCTCGAAAGCTCTCACCCAAATCTTGGCATGCTGAATTTGCAGGAAAGACCCAAAGATGGTGGGTCTGCAGCAGATCTTGGGATGGACATAGCAGACCCTTGGCATGCAACTGACAAGGTGATGACTCTGATGACATTGGCCATTTTGACTGACCAGAAATACAAGGCAAGAGGCACTCAAAGGCCACTTGTCATATTACAATATACATCGCTAGGGGGCTGACGTTTGCCCGAAATGCACGGAACTCCATGCGGGACTGCAATTTGCTGAGTTGTTTCCGTGCGTGTTTTTCGAACATTGCGAGCATGCAAAATATTGTTTTTACCTGCGTCTCATTGCATTTTTGCGCTTACCCAAGACGGTGCCAAAATTACCTTTTGAAGCGTATCTTAAAGATATCCTCTGTAATTTGCAATGTTTGGAGCCGTTAACTGAACCTCCACAAACCGCAAGACTTTGGAAGAACCCCAAACTAACCTAACCCTAAATAACCCTAAATAATCCCCAAAAACAAACCCTAAACCAACCCTGAATCAACCATAAATAACCTTAAATAGACCCTAAGACAACCCTGAGCAAACCCGAAAACAACCCTAAATAGCGCGACAATTAACTAAACAAACCCTAAATAAACTCTAAACAAACCCTAAAGAAAATCTAAACCAATCCCAAGCAAGCCCTAAACAAATCTGACACAACTCGTGAACAAATCACAACGTAACTAAACCCCCCAATGAAACTTTGGGCAAACGTCCGCCCCGGAGGGACATATATATATAGGGTGAAGGCTGGGTGTTCCCCGGAAGCCAATTGCATTTTATTTGTATGGATATGGAAAATGTTGATTTTACACTGGTTTACAGTGTTTTATGCTCTTCTCTCAACTTGTTCGATCAGTAAAAGTTGCAATGTCGGCGCGGATAAACTTGACGTTTGTCCGCGCAGAAAATGATAAATTTACATCTTCCATGGATGGCCAAACATGTGTGCAACATCGAAACCAGTGGAATTGCGGTTTCATGCATTTTTGGTCGTTTTGTTGACAACTAGAAAATGTCATCATTCACTGGAGAACCATGGACGAAATGAACATCACACCTGTTTCATTTTCACGTCCACAAAGGCTTTATGAAGCAGTTGCTTGGAGCGAGAGCACCATTGGTCTTCTCACGGTGCAGTCGCAGTAACAACAGCTTCAACGAAGCTACATCCTCAAGGTTTCAACAACTCTCAATCCAACGCGCTCCACATGACGTTATTACACCCTCCCCACCCCCCCACCCCCCCTTCTGTAAACAACAACGATATTTGCAACGTAACAGCATCTTCAACGAAGCAACATCCTCAAGGTTTCAACAAGTCTCAATCCAACGCAGTCCACATGACGTTATTACACCCCCCGACCCCCCATCTCTATACAATAACGACGTTTATAGTACATGACAGGACTGAGGGTTCCTGGAAGCTCCGGGGAACCCCCAGCCTTGACCCTATATATATATAAATGTATATATATATATATGTATATATATATAAATATATATATAAATATATATATATATAAATATATATATATAAATATATATATATTTAAATATACACATAAATACAATGTATATGTATATATATATATATGATTTATTTATATTATATATATTATATATATATATAGTATACTGCATGACTTCTATTGATCGGTCTTGGCCGTTGGCGAGAATATGCTTGCAAAGCACGGTTGAGAGATGTTGAGAGCCTTTATAGCTACTGCTCATTCAGAAGGAATCTGATTCGATGCAAGAGATGTCAGAGTGAGGTGACCTATATATATATATACAAGAAGGTCGCTGTAGGACGCAACAGCACAGAATTTGAGTTTGACTGAATAACTGTGCGTGCGGTCTCATGATTGCAACCCCTGTGTTGTTCACAGAGCTATTCGGACAGCCTTTATCCGGCATTTTATATACATAATGCAATTGGCACAATTAGAAACAGGTTTTTGGCCGATCCAGACATTCGTTTGACCAAAGCGCAGCTTGAGAAGGATACATATATAAAAATATGACAATGCGTTGCACAGCATAAAATGCATTCCAACATTTGTGTGACGTTGTTACAAACATGTTAATGTAAGTTGCTTGATCTGGCCGTTACACTGAATCGTGAACCTTTTACCAAAAAAAGGCTGCGAGATTGCGCTCTCCGGCTCCCAAAAAGCCGCGGGGTAAAGAAAGCAGTTGATGACTACCTGCGCTTGCGCGCTCTCGGCCTGATGGTGGCAGATGGCTTGTGGGTAGTGGCGAAAAACAAATGATGGGAAAGAAGATACAACCAGGAACGTTCTGCCATTTCTCGTTCTTTGCACACAATAATATCAGAGCAAGGTAAGGCTGAACACAAGAGTTCCTTTTGTCGCTGCGTCCAAGTGACGCCCTCAAGCCAGTGCAATATGTCTTGGAGTGATGTTGTTCTATGACTATTCTATGACTTGTTTCCCATGTGTTTGTCAAATGATGCAGCTACGCTTCAACTCTTGTGTCTTCTTCAAATTCTTCACTGCCATGGCCAAGACTTTCAGCATTAAATACATCTAAATTCATCCAGATATATTATGACACAACGATATGTACAATGATGATATATAATGATGTATCTGTATGATGATATATAATGATATTTAATGGATTTATATACATATACATTAAAATATATTGATTTCTTATATTTTTAGTCATATACAATGATACAGTACATAATGATACATAATGATACAAAATGATACATAATGACACATAATGACACATAATGATACATAATGAGCAAAGGAAGGTCGGTTGGAACACTTCCGGGTTACGGACGGTTGTCATGGCCAGCATTCTCAACATTATGTCAACCACATCATCATGTCAACCACATCATCATCCAGTAGTTGGGAAGTGTAACAGTTCGGAAACACGTGAGTTCAGGCTTGAAAGACTCTCGGGCGCAATACCCTGCGTTTTTTCCCGTAAAGTGGCTTCCGTCGTCGCCAAAGTAGGGTCTCTGTTTCCGCGGTTGCGGGCCTCGATCTGCAAAAGTCGTCGACAAAAAGTGCACAGGACCGTTGCGAGAGCTCGATTTGATTCGATTCGCACTTGAAAATGCAAAAAAAAAATGTCACGTTAGGTTAGGAGCACGTTGGGAAGATGGAAGATGAGGTCGACAAAATGCGCACTAGACTGTAGCAAGAGCTCAACTTCATAAGAAAATCGTCAAAAATTAACCTATTCGGAACATTTTTCGAAGATGGGGTCGGCAAAATGTGCACGAGACTTCAGCGAGAGCTCGATTTCACATAGTACACCGAACAGCTTTGGATTTGCGTGGTTGAGTCTGCACGGCAAAATGCGCACGAGACTGTAGCGAGAGATCGGGCTCACATAAAAATGAGTTGAAAATCTCAGGCGTTCGGAGCAGCTTTGGATTTGCGCGGTCAAGTTCACAGGGCAAAATGCGCACGAGACTGCAGCAAGAGCCCCATTTCACAATGCTTCATGCATTCATTGCTTCATTCATTCTTTGACTCATTCATTCACTCACTCATTCATTCTTTATTCACTCATTCATTCACTCACTCACTCACTCACTTAATTATATAATTCCTTCATTCTTTCCTTCATTCCCTCCTTCCTTCCTTCATTCCTTCATTCCTGCATTTCCTCGTTCCTTCATTCCTTCCTTCCTTAATTCATTCATTCATTCATTCGTTCATCCACTCATTCACTCACTCATTCATTCCTGTCATTCCTTTTCATTCATTCATTCATTCATTCACTCATTCATTCATTCACTCACTCACTCGCTCACTCGCTCACGCACTTTTTTCATCACTCATTCAGTCATTCATTCATGAACTGGTTCATCCATTCATTCATTCATACCTGCATTCATATATCCATTCACTTATTCACTCATTCATTCATTCGTTCATTACTGTAATTCTTTTTTCATCTATTAATTCATTCATTCATTCATTCATTCATTCATGCCTTCACTGATTCATTCATCCATTCATTCACTCACTCACTCATGCATTCATTCATTCATTCATTCACTCATTTCTTCATTGGTTTCATGATTCATTCATTCATTCGTTCATTCATTCATTCACTCACTCACTCACTCCCTCATGCATTCATTCATTCCTTCATTCATTCATTCATTCATTCATTCGTTCATTCGTTCATTCGTTCATGCGTTCACTCGTTCATTCGTTCATTGATTCATTCATTCAGTCATTCACTCATTCATTCATTCATTCATTCATTCAGTCTTTCATTTGTTGATTTCATTCATTCATTCCTTCGCTCACTCACTCACTCACTCACTCACTCACTCACGTATTTCTTCATCACTCATTCAATCATTCATTCACTCATTCATTCATTCATTCATTCATTCACTCACTCACTCACTCATGCATTCACTCATTTATTCATTTCATTCATTTCATTCATTTCATTCATTTCATTCATTTCATTCATTTCATTCCTTCATTCATTCATTCATTCACTCATTCATTGATTCATTCATTCATTCACTCACTCACTCATGATTTTTTTTGTTCATTTATTCATTCTTTTACTGATTTCATTCATGCATTCCTTCACTCACTCACTCACTCACTCACTCACTCACTCACTTTTTCATCACTCATTCAGTCATTCATTCATTTTTTCCATTGTTTGATCCTTTTTTCTTTCATTCCTTTTATTCCTTTCATGCCTTTCTTTCGTTCTTTTCATTCATTCTTCCTTTCATTCTTTCAGTCCGTACATGTATCCATTCATTCCCTTCATTTATTCGATTAATTTTGCTCAATTCATTCATTTCAACTGATTTCATTCATTGCATTCATTTATGTTCTTCAATTCACTCATGTCAATTCACTTCTTTCCAGCTCACCAACAATTCCTTTAAGCAAACTGGTTCCTATAACCACAGCCTATTTTTTTAACTTCCGCCCCTGCGCGTGCCGGGCACTACCTGGTATAAGATATGCACTTTTTGTGGTAGTTTCCCATGTCAGTGCAGAAGGTTTCTGTGTCCAGAAGGTGGTCAACCCTTTCACGCTCCAGACAACCCAAAGGAAAAGGCACACAGCGTGACTTCTGCTTTGCGGCCACATTGTTCCATCACCGCAAGAAAACGACGGAGTAATATCGAGCAGTATTCATCAAAAATTGAATGCCCTGTTTTTATGTCTGTCCGCAACCTTAGTGTTCGCCCAGACTCATCTTTGTGACATAACAGAGACAATTCTGTGTTGCTGGGAAGTTGCGAATCCAAGCAAGGCCAAGGGGGAAAATTAGGCCACGGTGGCATGTGAAAGATACCTTGAATACAGTTATCTTCAAGAGGAAACAATATCACCTGATCATCATGAGGGATGAAAATCTGCCACCCCCCTATGACCAATATGCTGAACGGGCTAACAACATCAACTTTATCTTCATGAGGGATCAAAATTGGCCACCTCCTCAGAACAATATGTAGATTGGGGAAATAACATCAACTTTATCTTCATGAGGGATCAAAATTAGCCACCCCCTCTGAACAATACGTTGATTGCGGGACATCAACTCCGGGCAAACGTCCAGAGTCCAGGTTGCAGCGTTATGTTTTTGTGCGTTTGTAATTCCTTGTGGGTGATCGGCAAATCCGTCCATTTCTGGTTGCCTTGTTGGATCTTGTTGGTGTTCACGACATTTCACGACTATGTGGTTCTGGTCCTGTTTATCTTCAATTTTTGCCTAAGCAGCGGCATGGGATGTCTTTGAAACAGTTTAGAATTTTCACAAATGTTCATGAGTTTCCAATTTCACATCGTGTAAGGATGCCTTTGGTATGGGACTTGGTTACGGGCCGCCGGTGCCACAGGCGGACTGCAGTTTTTGGACATCTTATAAGATATCTTGAGATATTTTAAATATGAAATTTCATCCATATGAAATCTGGATTAATTTGGCACATGAAAGCTGTCCAACTCCCAGAGCGTTAGTTTATCAAATGTCTAAGGCCAAATTTGCAGGTCGGGAGTCTTTGCAGACATTTGCAGACTGGAGTGTCAGGTGGATATCAGTGTCCGCGACATTGTAGCGGCTGGACAGCGGGCGAGGTGCTGATGAGCAGCGGAGTTTGAGACTGACATCACATTACCTGTCACAGCGGAAGTTATGGATATTTTATTAGTGTTGTGGTACAATATTGATGATTTACTGTACATTGTGTGGAATGAGTATTTCGGGGTTGAATGGTTTCCAGGAACACAGATCAAAGTCGTGCCCTTGAAAGCACGACAGAACATTTGCAAACAATGAGCGCTGGGTACTAAGTAAACCATGAAAAATTTTGACAGATTACTGCAAACTAAACAGTACAAATTGTTGAAGTATCAATGTTCTTCATGAACCAGATGCCAGATGCAGCCCCAAAAGTTGCATCCGCACAGCAAACCAGAAATTGAAGGTTCAGGGCACTTGATATTTTTGAAATCTTTTGGAGTCAAAGTCAAGACAAGCAAGGTTCTCTCGTGATGTAAGGTCGTATCATTGGGTGCATTGTTGGCTGTTGGCCTCACTATCAGATGTCGGAGATACTACACGGATATGTGAGGATTTTTTGTTGCTATTCCCATCAGATACGGTGGACCGCTGTGAAGCTTGTCTTCCAGCTTTCGATCTAGATCTAGTGCCCTTTCTGCGCTGATCATACCTGCGCAGGCTGCACATGCTCCTTCCTATTTTGGACGCTGTCACCACTTGCTTTTAGATCAGATAGAGGCATGTCCTTAAAAAAAGAACATACATTTCCATGCCATGACGTCATGACATGTCAGGCATAGCATGACTGTCATCCCGAGCTTGCCACCGCTTGAATTGTCCCTGCCGCCGTTGAAGGCATATGCGTTTACGCAAACCTGCCGGGATCCCATCGCTGTGAGGGGGCTCTAAAAGAAAAGGTGACAGAGTTGTTTGAGTCCTAAGACTGATGTCCAAGGCACTTACCATCTTTGATTTTTCCCGAGAGCGTCTGAGCGAAGGGTTCTTCTAATAGTGGGGGTCTGTCAAACATTTTCACGTCTTCACATCTTCTCATCCTCACATCCTCACATCCTCACATCTTCTCATCTTCTCTTCTTCACATCTTTCACATCTTCTCATCTTCACATCTTCACATCTTCTCATCTTCACATCTTCTCATCTTCTCATCTTCACATCTTCACATCACATCTTCACATCTTCACATCCTCACATCTTCACATTCTCTCTTGCCCTCTTGCTCTCTTGCCCTCTTGCTTTCTTGCCCTCTCCTTCTTTTCTATGTCTCTCTTGAAGGCGCGGGGCAGTGCCAACGAGACGGCACGAAACGCAACCCTTTCGCACGAAACGAGGTTCGATCGCCAAAAACTGAAGTAAAATTGCGATTTCTTGGGTCCGGGCGCAACTCTTTCGCACGAACTGAAGTTCGACCGCCAAAAACTGAAGTAAAATTGCGAGATGCAAAGCGTCCGACGCAACCCTTTCGCACGAAATGAGGTTCGATCGCCAAAAACTGCGGCAAAACTGAGATTTGCAAAACTTCCGGCGAACTCTTCCGCACGAAATGAAAAATTGCGATTTCACGGGTCCGATCGCAACCCTTTCGCACGAAATATGGTTCGATCGCCAAAAACTGAAGTAAAATTGAGTTTTGCAAAAAGCGTCCGACGCAACCCTTTCGCACGAAATGAGGTTCGATCGCCAAAAATTGAGTGTAAAAGCTTCTGTGTGTAAAAGTCGCTGTGTGCGAAAGTGTTTGTGTGTAAAAGCGTCTGTGTGTAAAAGTGTCTGTGTGTAAAAGCGTCTGTGTGTAAGAGCCTCTGTGTGTAAAAGTATCTTTGTGTAAAAGCGTCTGCGTGTAAAAGTCTCTGTGTGTAAAAGTGTCTGTGTGTACAAGCGTCTGTTTGTGTAAAAGTGTTTGTGTGTAAAAGCGTCTGTTAGTTAAAGTGTTTGTGTGTAAAAGCGTCTGTGTGTAAAAGTCTCTGTGTGTACAAGTGTCTTCGTGTAAAAGCGTCTGCGTGTAAAAGTCTCTGTGTGTAAAAGTGTCTGTGTGTAAAAGGGTCTGTTTGTGTAAAAGTGTTTGTGTGTAAAAGCATCTTTGCGTAAAAGTGTTTGTGTGTAAAAGCGTATGTGTGTAAAAGTCTCTGTGTGTAAAAGCTTCTGTGTGTCAAAGCGTCTGTGTGTAAAAGCGCCTGTGTGTAAAAGATTTTGTGTGTAAAAGCCTGTGTGTGTGAAAGTGTTGGTGTGTAAAAGGTGCCCACGACAACGGTAACTTCGCTGTGAGTGTGTGTGTGTGTGTCCTGGTGTCTGTTTGCGTCTCTGTTTTTGCGTCCCGTGTCTATCTCTTTCCTGTGCGTGTGTGTCTGCGTGTGTGTGTGTGTGTGTCTTCCTCTTTGTGTGCGTGTGTGTCTGTGCCTGTGTGTGCGTGTGCCTGTATGTGCCTTCCTCTTTGTGTTCTGTTTGTGTGCGTGCGTGTTGTGTCTGTCTGTGTACCGTGTGTGTGTGTGCGTCTGTGTCTGTATCTTTGTTTGTGTGTCTGTGTGTGTGTATGTGTTTCTTTGCTGCTTGTCTCCGTCGGTCTCTCAAATTTTGGAGTTCCGATCCGGAGAGCCACCCAAAAGTCGGATTCGAGTCGGTTTCGGGTTTCGGGTTTCGTCGGTTGAAACCAACTTTCGCTGTCGGTTTCGGGTTTCGGGTTTCGGGTTTCGTCGATTGAAACCCACTTTCGCTGTCGGTTTCGGATTTCGGGTTTCGGGTTTCGTCGATTGAAACCCACTTTCGCTGTCGGTTTCGGGTTTCGGGTTTCGGGTTTCGTCGCTTGAAACCAACTTTCGCTGTCGGTTTCGGGTTTCGGGTTTCGGGTTTCGTCGATTGAAACCCATTTTGCTGTCGGTTTCGGGTTTCGGGTTTCGGGTTTCGTCGCTTGAAACCAACTTTCGCTCGGTCGGGTTTCGGGTTTCGGGTTTCGGGTTTCGGGTTTCGTTTCGGGTTTCCTGAAACCAACTTTCGCTGTCGGTTTCGGGATTCGGGTTTCGGGTTTCGTCGATTGAAGCTAACTTTAGCTGTCCGTTTCGGGTTTCGGGTTTCGGGTTTCGTAGGTCGAAACCACCTTTAGATTCACCAGTACGATGCCGATCTCACATCACCCAAGTGTCGTTCTCCATGCAGTCGTCAAAAACAAGAGCGGTGAGTGACAAGCGCCTGAAAAGGCCAGAGAAAAAACGGCAACGGTTTGGGGGAAACCTGCCAGCATCCGTAAGTAGCTGTCACTGAGTGGATTAGATTAGATTAGATTAGGTAGATTGGATTAGATTAGATTAGATAGATTAAAGTAGATTAGACTAGAAATAGATTAGATTAGGTAGATTCGATTAGATTAGAATTGGATTAGATTAGGTAGATTAGATTAGATTAGATTAGATCAGATGAGATTAGATTAGATTAGACTAGGTAGAGTAGATCAGATTAGATTAGGTAGATTAGATTAGATTAGATTAGGTAGATTAGATTGGATTAGATAGATTAAACTAGATTTGAATTAGAGTAGGTTAGGTAGATTAGATTAGGTTAGACTATATAGATGAGATGAGATTAGAATTATATTTGATTAGATTAGATTAGATTAGTTTAGGTAGATTAAATTAGATTAGATTAGATAGATTAGATTAGGTTAGGTTAGATTAGTTGGATAGATATGATATTATATGATATGATATGATTTCATTAGATTAGATTAGATTTGAAATATTAGATTAGGTTATATTAGATTAGATTAGGTAGATTTGATTAGATTGGAATTAGAATTATAATAGAATAGGTAGATTAGATTAGATTAGATAGATTAGATTAGATTGCTTAGATTAGATTAGTTTGGGTTAGAACAGAATCTGATTTGATTAGGCAGATAAGATTAGATTAGAATTAGATTACTTAGATAGATAGATTAGGTTAGATTAGGTAGATTAGATTAGATTAGGTAGATTAGGTTAGATTAGATTATAATGAGATTCGATTAGGTAGAGTAGCTAAGATTAGATAGGTTAAAGTAGATGAGAATTAGATCAGATTAGGTAGATTAAATTAGATTAGATTAGATTAGATTAAACTAGATTAGATTAGAAATAGATTAGATTAGGTAGATTAGATTAGATTAGAATTGGATTAGATTAGGTAGATTAGATTAGATTAGATTAGGTAGATAAGATTAGATTAGATAGATTAAACTAGATTAGATTAGTACTAGATTAGGTTAGGTAGATTAGATTAGGTTAGAATTTGATTAGATTAGGTAGATTAGATTAGATTAGATTGGGTAGATTAGATCAGATCAGATTGGATTAGATTAGATTAGGCAGATTAGATTAGATTAGATTAGGTAGATTAGATTAGATTAGATTAGATAGATTAAACTAGATTAGAATTAGAGCAGGTTAGGTCGATGAGATTAGGTTAGACTATATAGATGAGATTAGATTTGAATTAGATTTGATTAGATTGGATTAGGTAGATTAAATTAGATTAGAATTAGATTAGAATTAGATTAGTTAGATAGATAGATTAGATTAGATTAGATTAGGTAGATTTGATTAGATTAGATTTGATTAGATTAGATGAGATTAGCCAGATTGGATTAGATTAGATAGACTAGAATAGATTAGATAGAATAGATTAGGTTAGATTAGATTAGATGAGATAGGTTAGATTAGATTAGATTAGATCAGATTAGATTAGATTAGATTAGATTGGATTAGATTAGATAGACTAGAATAGATTAGATAGAATAGATTAGGTTAGATTAGATTAGATTAGATAGATTAGATAGTCATATTAGATTAGATATTGGATTAGGTTAGATCTAGATTAGATAAGATCGGTCCTGGGGAAGTTAAGTCTTCAGAGTCGGTTTCGGGTTTCGGGTTTCGATCGGTCCTGGGGAAGTTAAGTCTTCACAGTCGGTTTCGGGTTTCGGGTTTCGGGTTTCGCAGTTCGAAACCAACTTTATAACAGTCGGTTTCTGGTTTCGGGTTTCGCTGGTCGAAACCAACTCTGCAGACCTCTCTCCGGATCACGTCTCAAATTTTGTGTCTATCTTTGTCTACTTAAATCTGACATAGCATGTCTATCTCCTTTCTGCTGATCATCTGCATCATCTTCAATGAAGCTTTCACCAACAATGTCTTTGATACTACTTACAAGAGAGTAACATGCTCTTCTACACTCTCAGGCCATCCGTCGTCTAGTTTTCTACCTGGTTTGGATAATTCAGAGGTTGGCACAAGTCCCCCATGTGAGTTTGCGTTTAGGGTTAGAAGGCAGCCAATGTCATTCAGCAATTTTATTCTTCCACTTTGCAGAGGTCATTATAATTCCCTCCTGGTTGAATGCACGATGTTCGTTCGGTGACATTATTTTTCTGTGAATTTTTCATTCTCAACATCTGTGGAACTTAAGGCTTCAGTGCCGGAGGCTGGTTTTGGAAGTTCGGAAGGATTTGGGGCACGCAAACCACAGGAAAGCACATAAAAGAACAATCCTTCACAATACTTCGCCTGTTTTCAGAAACCAGTTTGATTTCTAATTGTGCGAAATAGATCCAAACAGTTCCAAATATATAGTTTCAGAATGTTGCAGATGCCGATAGGTTCGATGGTAATCGCCAAAATAGGTGTGACAAAAGCATGGCGCAGAGATTTTGAATTGCAATCGTCAGATTTATGGGGCAACGAAAACGATCTGAGCGCACAACTTCAAATTCAATTGATCGGTTTTGAACCAAATCTGTCCCATTTTTCCTCCTTAAAGCCTCTACATAAAAAGCATGTTTTCGAACTTTTTGGGGCTTATCTAGAGGGGTACGCAGTGGATTCTACAAAAAGTTGTGCACACGTGTCTCATAGCTTTCTAAACCCCTC